TACATTTCTACTGAATTTAGCTGTGAAAGGGGTGTGGAAAAAAACCAATTTTGCTTCTCTTTCGCAAAGCAGCTAAGAGATCCTGAAACGTGGATAGCATACAAACCGGATGTCATATTCCAGAATTTGAACACGTACGGACACATTCCACACAAATCAGAAAAGCCCATGAGAAGCTTTGGTTTATACACACAGACAAATACTGCAGCAGCAATTGGCAGAGATGATACTGCAGGGATGCTGTGCTGCAGCCATTATGTACCCCAGAAACACTGGGTCTCAGCATGTCAGAAACAAAAATAAATAGGTAGAATTGCATCATTTTTCTGGCATTAAACAAATCCATGAGAGTGATGAGGCCAGAACTACTGCCTGTCTGTCTGAGGAGAACAGGAGCAGGTCTTAAGTGAGGGACACCACACATTCAGAGGGAGAGAGGGAAGGTACACAATTGATAGCAAGGAAACATGAAGAAGGGGCTGTCTGTAGATCTCCGCTGTTTCTTCAGGGTCAGAATCTCTCAGCACTGTTTTAATTTTTACTTTTACAATTGAAATTTTAAATATAATTTATATATAATAACTATACATGATTTTTATATTTCCGTTTACAAGCACAGAGGCAAGAGGCGACCACAGTGCCATTCCGTGAGTGAGAGAGATTGACTTTAGTCATGGGGTGGATTGTGGTGGCGCATCCTTCCTCCCTGCCCCTCCTCAGGCTACACTATAATGTCAGAATTGCTCATTAGGCCTCAGTCTTGATGAACAGTATCAGGGCTAAGGTCCTCTTGAGCTTATCAGAAACACTGCCTGCTCCCAGGAACTTATGCTGCCTAATAAGTTGCTGGTTTTTTTCAAACAGCCTTGGAAACTTATTTTTCTTGCCAGAATAACAACTCAAATGGAACAACATTATAACAAGTTACCAACCCAAACTGCAGCCAGAACAGAAAATTACTATGACCAAAGTCAGCTCTCTTGCAACTCTATAAACAGTGGTCCTCAGTGAGACCCTTTGAACTTTCTGGGACCGCAGTGGGCTGCAACCAGCAATCTCTCTCTGAGTGGGGCCTCTCAGAACCAGTGAACTCTCAATTTTGCTGCACTGGAAAGACCATTGCTGAATGCCAATGACAGAGCCTGGGCTGATAATCCCACTCCTCAAGGCTAAACCCTTTGCCTGCTGAGAAGATGTAAAAGCATCCGACATGAGTACTTCCCTGAATTTGGGAATTTTTCACAGGTATATACTCTGTACATATTCCTTTGTGTCTGTGTGTGTACCAGTGTGAATATGCTGTAGCAAATGTACTATGAATGTTGCTCTCAGATTCTTAAGTATGTTACATTCGTATGGAAGTTAAGCCTGTGAGTTACTGTGGGCTCATAGTAAATTCTATAGAATCTTTTGTTAAATTGTTCAAGTTAGACTATCGATTATGTGTTGTTAAGTTTAAGCGCTGTTAAAACCTCTAGGCCTAAACTGTTGGTCAAGTCCAGGGCTAAGTTTGGCAAGGGGGTCCTCTCTGAACCTTGTGACTCAGTGGGAAGGTATTCCTTATTCCTTTTTATCCTTACCCTTTCCCATCCTTATCCTTTTTTGTCTCCAGCCTCCACATAGGTAATTTTTAGTTGACTTTAGTTTTAGATTGATTGATTTTAGATTTTATTCCAATTTTTCAGTGTGTTTCAACCATCTAGTAAGTAGTACAGTGAACCTTGCCAATTTTGTTGCACTTTCATTTTAATATTAAACTGCTTTTGTCGATAGCTTTGCCAGTGATTCTTTGAACAACCTAAAGCACTCCTTCACAACAAACTGGTCTTAAAGATATTCTAAGCAAGGTTAATTTAATAATTTTGTTCCTTCCTAGCAGTATGATGTCATTTGTGTGTTTTCATTCTCTCATACTGCTATAGCAAGCAATAAATTCAAGGTCAAGTACTGGATATGTTTAAAACTTCAGCAAGCCCCTTAACAGTGGACAGTTTTCAGCATTGGGGCCATGGAAGCAAAGCTGTCATCAGTTGGTTTGCCCTTGCTTAATATTTTATGAAAAATATGTGACATCTGTTCCTTGACATAGGAACAGGAATGCAATTACAGAAGGAAAAAAGAGCAAGGTTTGCATGTTCCTTGTTAACAAATACATTCAAATCTCATTGGAAGGCACGATATCCTTCACTGCAAGGTCTCTGGTGGTCAAAAACTGGATGGAATTGCTTGCGACGAGCAATTCAAAATGAAGGGGGCATTTAAAACTACCCCTAACCTGAATACTGCATAATCTTCTCATTACACCGGCATTTGGGAGTGCACACTCATTATTTGGTGTTTGCACAAAACTGTCATAATGAATTTAGAACTGAAGGTTAAGGAGCAGACAGATGGAAGCATAAAGTAGGCTTCCTGTGGCTCTTGGTATTTTCCTGCTTAAGAGTTTATCTGCGTAATGCAGGATACTACACTGCCATGGAAGACATCCATCTGGAGTACACGGATTTACATCTTCTGTGAAGGCACCATGACGTAGGCCTCGACGGGAGCTGGAGCACATGAAGGTGGGGGGAGAGATGGGTGTCTGTCACACTGAATGGTAAGGCTATAAGATAACTGTAGACCCGGGAGTAAGAAGGAATCAATGCTCTGCCAGGGATATGGAGCAACCAGAGCCAGGGCACATAGCTCAGTAACTTACAATGTTCCTACTATGTGGATGTTACTGTCATGCTGCACCTTCGGAAGGGGCAGCATGTTACCTGTACTGGACCCACAATCAGAATGGACAATTGAGAAGAACAAATAAGCACACTAAGTAAATTTATTTCCCTCTCACAAATCAGACAGTTGAACCTTGGCCGTTTTACCTCAGGAGAAGAGGACAGGAAAGGTTTGATGTATATATTGGAGTCGTGTACTTTCAGGTCATGGTCTCCCAGTCCTCGGGTCACTCCAATTGTTGCCATAACCCGAGCCTGGAAATAAAGAAAAGCGATGGGATCAAATCTTGTTACATGCACTGTGTCAACAGGGAAATTCCTACTCTGTAACTGCTACAGTTGGGGATGAATTCCATTTTATTTCCCAGAAACTCTAGATTCAACAGAGCTAATCAACATCAAAGCTTTTCACATTCATGTCATCTCAATTTTCCTCATTATTCCAAGCTTTGTATTCATCCGCATCCCACTCTGTGTACACCCATTTAAGACTGTGACCATCTGTAAGCGATTGGGACTGTGGAAACCTAAACCAGTCACCCCACTCTCCAGTGGTTTATGAAGCATTCCTTCAGCAAATTATACTATTAGCAAACAGATTTTATAAAGAGGGTGAGGAGCTTAATTACTCACATAAGGAATCTGTGGCATCTTCCCAAGAAAAAGTGTCAAGGGCCACCTTAAATTGCTGAACACACAGGTGACAGTGGCACTGACCATAGTACTCTCTTCTGTGAAGAGTCAGTCTACGGCAGGTCTGCAGGTACCTCAGGTCCACTACTTCCTCCCCCAAGCAACATGACTTGTCTCCCAAGAGGTGCTGGGCTCTATTTCATTAATGATTCTCCAAAGACTGACCAGGCAGCTGCCTCACAGTGAGCCCTGCTCTCTGTGGTCTGCTTATCGTGTCCCCCAAAGTCTAGCTTAGCCACAGCAGCTTCTGAACAAGGGTATTCACAGCACCAATAGCAGCGAGTAACAGACTCGAAATTATTTTGCCTCACTAAATCCTGGTTCCATAAGGCAATAAGAAAGTATATTAAAAAGATGTGTGTGAAACATTTTGCAAATAATTATAAACCAAATTCAGAGATAAGCTGCAGGTCTGAACCTACAAAACTTGGACTAATTTTGAAGAATGTCTATCTATGCATTAAGAATCTAATGCAGCAGGAGAGCACTATTTAGAAACACAGCAAGCATACAAAAATTAGCAAACTGACACCACTGCACCCTTATATTGATCCTATTGCTGCATCCAGCTAAGCTTGCTAGGACCAGCACTAATGATCTCACTGTTCTTAATCACAGAGCAGGAAACAAAGTATACCTAAAACGGAACAGCGTTTCTCCCTTTCAAGAATAACCATCAACCTCCACTTATCAGAAAAATTCAACAGTGAGTTCCATGTGCACTAGCTGAAGAAGGGGTGTTATACTTTACAAATCCTGCCCTGATCCCTCCCCTTCCTAAATTAGAGTTTTGCATCTCAAGCACTATTAAATATCTTCCTGCTTTGTTTCAGCAAACATAAGGTATGTCGCTATCTTCATCCAGCATAGTTATTTTTACAATGAAACAGGAACATTTTAAGTCAATTATTAAGACAATCTCATTGCAGCCTACTTACAATGAGAGAAAAACAAAAGCAAACTGACAACAAATGACTGTTTGCTATAAAATTGCTTTTTAGTATGTTGAGCTCTCCCTGCTGCCCCCAGACATGAAACTGATTTATGAGAGAATCAAAATATTCTTTAAAGCTGTCAAAACAATAAAATAAAGAGATACTGAGTGGAAAACACTGGACTGCCACAGGCTAAACTGAGTGGTAAACAGCACAGAATTCCTTCTTCCTTTGGTCTGAGGAAAGCAAACATGCCCACCTTCTTGCCTTCTCCGTATATAAGGGGAAACTTCAAGTCATCTTCCTCAATGGTTTTGTATGCCCTGTGGGGGGAGGACAAACAACACTTATAAAACTTGCACTCAATTAGTGACCCAGTGCCCTGAAACAAGCAGCTGTGATTTAAAAAAGAAAAAAAAATCATTATTTTTCCTAGGGACTCTGTCTTTGAGCCAAGTTGTAAATTTCTTTTTCTGCAGAAAGGTTTTCTGTAAATAATTATCCGTTTCACCTAAAGGAAAAGTGAAGACAGAGAAATATCTAACATACCAGGCTGCTCCTATTGCTTGCAAAGAAAGAAGTGGACTGCAGTAACACCCTAATCAGGTAAGAAATGGTTGGATATGGTAGCAGCTATATCATAATACAGTGTCATAAATAAATCAACTCCAACCAACCAACCAACCAAAAAAAAAAAACCCAAACAAAACAACCCCAAACCCATCAAGAAACTAATCAATGCCTATATTCACACTGTTAACATGAAAAGGTGAGCAACAGGACATGTACGCAGTAATGGTGTGAAACAGCCTTCTGATCGTGTTCTCACCTTCCAGGACCGCTTAAACCAAGACAAGGTTCATGTGCTGAAGAGTCTTAGGATATTTAGTGCTCATTTGACCTTGACTGCAAGGTTGTCAGAGGTTTCACATTTCCCAGCAGCTTTTCCATGGACAAGAGACAAGAGAAGTAAATGCTCGTGCTCTGATTCTGTTTACTGCATACCTGCATACTCTACCTTTTACACATCCAGCTGTTGACACTGATGAGGTGAGAAGGTTAGCAATTTTTCCAGTGAGGAAAAAAAAAAGATGACAGTCACTCTCATAAGCTGTAGAGTCCTGTGGTTTGTGTAACACATACTTGAGCTGAGGTACTGGGATGCCTCTTTCATGAAAGCACATTGCCCCAGAGGGGCATGCTTTCCTTCATAGGACAAAATTTTCCCTCCTCAGCCTTTCCCTGTATGCTGTGCTTCCCTCCTGGCTCATCCATGCCCAAAGCCCCTGGGGCGATACCAAAATCAGCCCCAGTGCAGGAGTAAGTGCTCTCCACAGAAGTGGAAGGGACTTGTGAGAGGAGGGAAGGTGCTGCGGCAGGTCCCCTGCCAACACTTCCAACCCCTGCTGTGTAGCTCCCCAGCTCTCCAGGCTGGCTGCTTGAGCTCTGGGGAGTCACAATTGATCAGGTTTAAGCAATGTTAAGACCGTGACATAAACCAGCAGGAAATTAAAAATTAAGGGTGAAATCCTATATTGTAATTGAACTGCCCCCTGCTTCACCAAAATATGGCATATCCCTGTGATCAATAAATGGTGCTGTACTACACAGCTGTACGTGCTGCATCACCCAGGTAAGCCTCGGGCTTAATGAGACAGCACAGACATTTAAGCCCCACCTTTACATTTCCCAGTAATCACAGGAAGGCTCATATTAGGGTTTTGGGCGTGAGAGGAAGGGCAAGAAAAAAGGGAAAAGCAACCAAAATACATAGAAGAAACAGTAGTGGAGGACTCCCCTTCCATACTACAAAACATAACTATGTACAAAATCCCAAAACAAAACCAGGTGAGGTTTGCAAAACACAGTGGGTGCTTCATGGGAGATCATGTAGTTAAGAATATTTCAGTATATAACCATAATACCTGGGCACCTCTACAAAACACAATACAGTGAAGGCATTTAAATGGCAATTTACACTGGAGATGGTAAATAAATTAGCTCTTAAACCAAACAAAGAAGAACAAAATACTACAAGTAGCCAACATGATAATACTTCCCTGATGTTAAAATGCTAAAATAGCATTTTATTAGGAAGGATGAGTCAGTCATGGACTCTGCTCTTGTTCCTTCCTTTATTTTCAAGTGGGAATAGCTAACATCTCTGCCTCACTGACTAACTTGAATCCCCTTGTTTGAATGTGGAGCAAAAATTTTACTATCCCTGACTACTCATGTTCCAAAGCTTCCAGCTGGACCTACAGGGCCGGGAGCCCTGACAAAACCTCCTTGAGGAGTCTGAACTATTCCTTGCATAGAGCCAGATGCGCTCTGACACTGAGAAAAAGAATATCAGCTGAGTCTGTTTTGGGCATCAGAGTCAAACAACTAATCAAACCAGAAGCCCGAGAAGACAACCATTCCTACTGGATTTTCAAATTTTGTACATATTTGTTAAAATATGAAACAAAACTAAGATGATGTGATTTAACTATTTGCAGCCCCCTTTTTAAAGGAAAAATACACCTATTATTTACCAAAAAACTATATTATCTGCAAGATAACTACAAATACTTAAGATCAAAGCCCTCACTTTACATTGCCCTGTAAGTAGCCAAAAACACGGACCAAATTTATTTACCTCTCTTCCCTTCTTCCTTACGTTCTCCTGCATAACACCTCCCAGCAACTGCACTTTAGGAAGAAGGAAAAGTATCATTTAGGCTGGTGTCCTTCAAAGGAATGGTCCCCACTTGCTGAGTCTAGCATCTTTTATGGAACCATTATAAGGAGCACTGTCTCTAGGGCCTTCAACTGTGACACAATGGTGCAAGCACACTGGAAGAGGCCTTGTTGCAAGGGCTGCAGCTAACTTGTTCCATCAGGAGATTAGGAAGAGCAGCTGGCTAGCCTGTGACCTCCTGAAGCTATGCATCTAGGTGAGGGAGGTGCAGAGCTACAGTGATTTGTTTTGTGGTTTCTCACAGGAAGTCACCTCTTGGGCTCAAAACTTGGGTGTCAAACTCAACTTAAACATGTTTTTCTGTTGATGTTGCTATTGCCTGAAAAATTAATAGCACTGAAGAAACAATGCTCAGAACTGCAACTACAGCAGCAGAGCTGGCACAAACACACTGAAAAGCAACCGGAGACACACTAGAAAAGTACCCTTGTCCTGCATTACTAGAGAAACAGAATTAATAATATACGAGTGTGTGGTTTGCTGCAAGAGAAGGATGAAGGACAGCTTTTCAGCTAGCAGCTCAACAACTGCACAGGGGAGATGGAAGGAAGGAAGCTATGAAGTTCATTTTAATTTATGCCCTGTGAAACCTCCTGTACTTTGTGCGTGAGTTTATTTCACACAGGCTACAACCTTCCAGACTATTTCCCTTGATTTTATGTGATATAGTTGCATTTATACCTTCATGTGCTGTAGGTATATCGAAGACAGACACACAGAGAACGTGAGGGGATGGTTTGGCTTTCTAAGTGCCTACATGGCCTTATTCAGCCCTCTATGTAATTCAAGCTAGCTCACTGTTCTAAAAACACAATGTTGCAACCCTCCACTCTCCCTTATCTTCATGGTCCACACCCCAGGAGGTTTCCGTGGCCACCGGGGCATGACAAGAAAGGTTATAAAGACAACTCAATGCTATTGCTTCCTGCTCTGAATGAGCCTAAATATTGTTAAGTGCTTCTGCCACGTAAACCTCTATTTTTCCAAATGGAAAAGCAGGGGGAGCAGAGAGGGCAGTAGAAAAGGCAAGCTTCTACCCAGCTGAATCTAGCTGTATTTTTTTCAGTTAACTTCATTTCTTCTTTCCATTTCAAAAGAATTATGAAATGTTACTGCTGTCCAAAAATACTGAACTAGGGCTTGACATATGTACCACCCACAAAGTTACATTTGGACTCAGGATCAACATTTTGGAAAACCGGGCCAAATCGCACCAGGAGCCAAAAGAGATGTCAGAACAAAAGAACTAGGACTGACATAATGTTACTCATATGCTAACTGGAATCTGCTCTAAATGCATGGTGAAAAAAATTCACCAGAAGCTGCTAAATGCACAACACAATCTATGGAAGAAGTTTCTTAGAGTGCTGAAGTCATTAGCAGTGCTTTAGGCACTCTTTAAATAAAAGATTATCAAAGTTACTTGCATATTGCTGGGTCAGAACTTGAAAAACCAGTAAGCTCCCACATGCAGATTTCAGAGCCAAAATTCTAGATAATATCTTACATGTTATGAGTTCTCCTGTCATGAAATTTATTCTTAACATTTGCCTTCTGAAAGGACATATAAATTCTCATAAAAGTAGAAGTTGTTGATGACCCAAACCCAAATCCATACTGTATTTTATTTCACAGCAAACTGTGTAGGGTTACTGGTCATGAAAAGTATTGCATTGGCATTCCCATGCACAACAGATGGTGGTGAAAAGACAATCTACCCCTGACCTAGAAGGTTCAGTTCTGTGCACAACAGGGGAATCCAGACTCTGTGGTCTGCTTTTCCATGGCACTTGGCTTTAGAAAGTTTGCCTGTGTTTCACATCTCTGCTAGTGACATCTGACAGTAAACTGAGAATTAAACCTAAGGAAGAGCAAAAAAAAAAAAAATCAACATCAAAGGGCTTTAGCTTGAAGCACAGAATAAACCCACTTGTGGCAAGCAAGCAAGAGAAAGTACTACTGCTTCAGAAACGTCCTAGTTCATAGAGTACAAGGATAAAAGAATCTCTCAGACAGTTTGTAGATTTTGTGTATTTCTAGCACCACTTTGCTACCTCTGTAAAAAACCCCAAACCTAGGACCATCCCCAAACATCCTCCACCTGACCCCACTCCCCCGTCACCCAAAAAAAACCCAGCTCACAACAAAACTACCACAACTGTCCAAAAACCTCCTCCACAAGCTCAACTTTCTTTGGTCATATCAACAGAAAACCAGGTTTTAGTCCTCAAATAACAAAAAACTTGATAGAAACTCCTTCATTTTTTCCCCTTCCACACAAGGAATCAGTGGATTGGAACTCACTCTTTGGATAACAGAACTTAAATCACCAGCCCAAAAGGAACTGTTATCTGTACTGTCTATTGAACTATGGGCATCAAACTAGTGTAGTGCTTACTAACAAGAAGAAAAGATGCGTAGTGCAGGTTAGGCACAGAGCCACTGAAAATTATGCAATTTATGTCTCAACCCAGCCATAATCTTAAAAAATATCATTATGCATGTGCTTCTGCAGAGTCAGGATCTCTAAATCCATACAGCACTGCCTGATTCTAAGTACCCTCTAGGTAGGTTAGCTCT